GAAAGTATCTGAACGTAACCCATATTGCAGATTATACTAGTAAATTGCTGAAAAACTAATGAAGTAAGTAATATTTGCATAAACACGCATTTTTAATTATAAATAAAAAATTTAAAACAGGAAACAAAAATATGAGACAAAAAGTAACTAATAATGCACTAAATTACTTACATAAAACTATGAAATATTTTTTAAATATTATGTTAAAAACTAAGAAAATTATATGTGAAAATAAAATAAATTTAGATGTATACAAATATTTTACTATGAACTAGAAGCATGAGAAAAGCGACGGCTAAGAGTTGCAGAATAAAAACGCAACTGTGAGTGTTCTTCATTGTGCTCTGTGTCTGTAAAAAATAAGAAATGTTTTCCCTCTCTCAAAAGCCCAATAAATCCTCATCTTTGAAGCCACTCAAACAAAGATATGGTGCAACTGTTTACAGCAGTGATCCGAAAGCAATAAACACAGCTGTAAAAAATCTCGCGACTGCGTCATCTGATCCTTTCTTCGATGTCTCAGAATGATCTCAGATGTTTCTTCGATGTTTTTTCGGTGGCTTTATACTGAAACCACGATGAAAACATTCAAAATTAAAAGGGTTCCATTACTTTTTTTGTGAACTAAGGACATTTCATTAATCATTGATGCCTGCTTATAAAATATATTGTGGAAAAATTAAAAATTGTTGGATTTTTTTTCTTAAAATAGCCCAAAAGAATAGTATTTAAAACAAGCTATTTATGAATGATTCGTATCAATAAATGGATGCCCAAAAAGGTTTGGTGCTGCCATCTGTTATCAGCTTTGAGAAGTAATTTAATTTTAGCAGCGGTTTTGAGAAAATAAAACAATTTTCTAAATTTAAAAAAAAAAAAAAAAAAAAATGTTGAAAATGCGGTTTCAAGGCGAAACCACCGCCCTTGAGCACTGATATAAAAATATGTTAGGAGGTGTTGCCTTGAACTAGTTAAAAGCGCCGGCAAAGCCAAAAAAGTGGAGCAGTTTGATAACAATTTAAAATCCAATTAGAAAGCTAACTTTAAGCTACGACAGGAAAGTAAAATAATAATGATGAAAAGTTTTAAGAAATAAAAATTGAGTAGTCTAGAGGTGGAATACCAGACAAGATGCTTGTTTGTACCACGACGCACAACAACAAAAAGGAAACTCTACATCGGAGAGAAAGTAGATTTCATACAATTTTTAGAACACAGTAGCATACTAATGTTGATATGTGTACGCAGTTTGAGATCATATCAACAACAACAAAAAAAAAGAGAGAGATCGGTATATCCATACTTAAATACGTTCAAAGTAAATGGGAATAAGCTAAAACGCTAAGTGAAGCGTCAGATAAAAGTAATAAATATTTTAAGTAAATCACGAAACGTTACGAAACAATCACATAGTCCTAAAAAGTGAGTCTTGAAAGCCGCAAAGATTTCTAGGAATAACAGGAAAAAAATAAAACTTACATGATATGATCGAGAAAAATCATCTTAAACGCTTCCACTCAAGACTTCAACAATCATACAAAAAGGGGAAAAAAACTCCTACCAACAAATCACGAATGCACAAATAAGCCTAAGAAACAGTACTATTATCTACGGAGTAAACAGAGTCTTCTCTGTGAAGGGGATATATTTTGAAATCCAAATATTGAAACTTTTACACAAATAAATGGGGTATCAGTAAGTGCAATACAAACATCAGAGGGCCTCACCTATGCGCCATCAGCGAGAGAGAGGTGAAAGAGGAGTATGACATAGACAGACAGTCTTCTATCCCACGCGAAGATTGTAAGATGTCTCCACGAGAAGCAGAGTCATAGCTATGGTTTTCAGCGCCAGGGACAACTGAAGATTTCGCGCCCCCTATTGCTTGCCAAGGAGGGAAAACATTTAATTCTAAAATGTCGTAACATAAGTTTGGCGCCCCTTGGATTCTGCGCCCAGGGACAGATGCCCCCCTCTAGCTACGCCCCTGACGAGAAGGTGGTAAGACATAGGTCTACACGTGAAGGTGGTAAGACGTAGGTCTATACGTGAAGGTTTTAAATAATGAACTGTATGTTTCCACGAGAAGGTGGTAAATTGAACTGCATAATACGACAGCAAGTGCGAGTGGGCACTAAGCTGCTATGTTATAAGACTGGTAAAACATATGCAGAATCCTGTTTGTATCAAAAGGCACTTGACTCGATTTAATGTACCTTCCTCTGTTATTTTTATTAAATGTTCTGTGGTGTGGAAAACGTTGGACTTGTTAATGGACCCTAGACCAGCATTCTCAACTCCCCTACCACATAAATGAATAAGTAAAAGAAAGTCTCGTTCCACTTCATACATATTCCTAATTTCAAGGAGCAAAAATCCTTCCTTTTTCCCTCTTGCAGCAAATGCTGAGGTCAACGAACTACGGTCTCTACAAAGAAAGAAGCTCTTCTCCCAATTTCAGATGATCATTCGGATAACGTCAGTACGGACGTTATGCAAAAAGGAGCTACACGCATACAGAAAGTTAAAAAATCGTATTACGATCACAAATGATGAGCAGTAAAAGCTAATATAAATAAAAATTCTGATAGGTAAACATCCTACCTTGACCCTGGGATTTCAGATTATATCCATAAAGGATTAATTTAAATTTTTGAAGGAATACAAAAACATAAGGATTATCTTCTACAACTAATGAAGAGCAATAATGCTCGAAAAGTTTCGAAACAAGAATGTTAAGAAAAGACAAATTGAGTAACAACTCCGAAACACGTCCACACCCTTCGCTATCCTCACGATGCTTTCTTCTTTAAATTCTTGATATTTCGTAGGTAATTTAATTTACGTTAAAGGCTGAGTGAACATCTCAGAGAAGTGTTACTAAAAACTACGGAGTGTAAAGCATGGTGTCTGTACTCCGTGCTTGAAACACTGGTTGAGAAATGCCAGAATTAAGAGCTGGTGCAGCCATTCATGTAAAACTTTATAAAAGAAGTAAAAATACAGTACTCTAGTTTTTAACATAAAATTTTTCGTTTTTGCAGTGATATATATATATATATACGTCACTTCTATTAGATGTTATGAATCTTTGTTTTTACAGTCCATTGCTCACACCGCGTCATGTGACTACTGCAACTTTTACTTCCGTAACTGTTTGAAATATGTAAATTAAATGTGTCATATGGGCAAGACGTAAAGTTTAACTTTTATAAACTAAATTTATATTACTTAATGGACTGGTGGCCATTTAATATCATATTAAATTGAATTTAATACGGATAGAATTCTGAATTCTATATTTAAATAAGAAAGGAAGTGCTGATTCTGATATTTGTTAAACGTAAGTCGACCCTTATCACTAACTAAATAGTTTATTTGGGTTTTTTACTGTTTGTTATAATAAAGGAAAAAGATATCTTTCGATTCATACGTTGTTATTTAAATAATTTTAATAATCATGTGCATTTGTAACGAGGGAATTTAAAAAAAAAAAAAATAATAATAAACAATTACTTCCTGTTCAATAAGTCCCCATCAAAGAATATTTTACGTTTTCATTATCTTTTATGAAATATAACATTTGATATGGCTGTAAAAATTATCTTTCATGAGTGCGTATAAGTTTTTCTGAAATCGGTATGCTTACTCTTAACACTTTTTTCCTTCGGTATCTCTTCATAATATTTTCGGGATAAATAAGTTAACATAGTTTTTCAGGAACAGTGTTACAAATTTCTGTTGAGGATTGAAGTCTTATTTTTATTTACTTTTATTACGATTTTACATGAATGCAGCTATCAAAAGTGGTATCCGTCCATTGAGAGATTTTATTTAATCATACTTTATATTCATTAATGAAAGAGTCATTATTTCTAATGATCGAAGAAGAATTTAGTACTTCTGCGTGATCGGCCAAGCCATTGATACCTTATTTGTATAGTTAAGTATAATTAAAATTTTTATATTTAAAACAATAGCAATAAAACTTTGCTCTGTGTATTTGCATGATCTGATTTACAATAATAACCTTCTAATTGCAATTGAATTTAGAACCCAGTACTAGTATAACCTAATTATTTCTTAGTTTTTGAAAGGAAATTTCTTATTAAAAGTATATTAGAGTGATTTTTGTAAAAAAAAATAATTAATTGTAAAAATTAATGTTTTGTAATTGTAAAAATTATGAATACACTTACATTTTTCTAAAAATTCATATAGAGTTAGAATTCATTATTCATTCATTTTTTCTACAAATTAATTCATTAACATTTATTGTATTGTGAATTTCTGAACTGTTAAAGTTTAGATATTGAATTCTTATTTAAATTTATTCTTTATGCTTTCAAATTAGTAATTAAGAAACAAACTGTTTAAATTTTTTGCCTTTCAGACTATAACGGGCATTTCACTTACACTTAACAATGCACAGTTTATAGGTAATCATTTCACAGTGTATGTGAGTGTATGTATAATTTATAGGTAATCATTTCACAGTGTATGTGAGTGTATGTATAATTCTGATTGAACACAGAACATAGTTTTATAAATTGTGGTTATTTCTTGTGCATAGTGGATCATAATTAGTTTTATAAATTGTGGTTATTTCTTGCGCATAGTGGATCATAATTAAAGTATGCGTGTACTTTTCCTATATGCACATTTTCATGTGAAAGCAAAATATATAATTAGTATGAATTCCGTATCTGAAGCATAGTTTTATAACTAAAAGTTGCCTGCCTTTGAGTATAATGCAAATAATGTTTTTCATACATTAGTAATGTAAAAAAGCTCTGAAACTTATAGATATAATTGATTTTACTATTGGTAGATAGCAGTTCGTTTTGTAATTGGTAGATAATGATAAGTTTATCTCTAGTCAGATTATCATGTATTGCGTGCTCAACAGCTACATTGCTGTGAAGCTGAGTGTTTAGCTTGTTTCGAGTCTTTTATCTAACAGGTGTTTCAGAAGTTTGTGGGTTTTTTTTTTTTTTTTTTTAATTTGAATTTTTTTTTACATATTTGTCCTTTAAAAACCGTAATATATAGAATAACCCAAAGTAATGGATCTGCAAGGTATTTTATTTACATTATAAAAGTAGTCATCATTTTTTCATACTTATAGCTTTCTCTTGTTGTATAGAATTAACTAAACATGTAATAATATAGGCTTTTGACAGAATTTTTTTAACAGTGTTATCTTCAGGCAGATGTGTGAAGTCTGTTGTAGCATATGTTAGTGCAGTACTTTTTTTTTTTTTTTTTTTTTTAATGGGATAAGTTTTTATTGCTATTTGAAAATGAATCAGCACAAGAACTGACATTTGAGTTATTGGTATTATTATAATGCAGGTGTTCACAGAAAATTATACGTATTTTATTGGAAAAAATATTTAGTTCACTGTTTCTAATAATTTTTGGATGAAAGTAAATAATTAAATAATTGGTTATTTTATTTACATTATAAAAGTAGTCATCATTTTTTCATACTTATAGCTTTCTCTTGTTGTATAGAATTAACTAAACATGTAATAATATAGGCTTTTTGACAGAATTTTTTTAAACAGTGTTATCTTCAGGCAGATGTGTGAAGTCTGTTGTAGCATATGTTAGTGCAGTACTCTTTTTTTTTTTTTTTTAATGTGATAAGTTTTTATTGCTATTTGAAAATGAATCAGCACAAGAACTGACATTTGAGTTATTGGTATTATTATAATGCAGGTGTTCACAGAAAATTATACGTATTTTATTGGAAAAAATATTTAGTTCACTGTTTCTAATAATTTTTGGATGAAAGTAAGTAATTAAATAATTGGTTATTTTATTTACATTATAAAAGTAGTCATCATTTTTTCATGCTTATAGCTTTCTCTTGTTGTATAGAATTAACTAAACATGTAATAATATAGGCTTTTGACAGAATTTTTTTAACAGTGTTATCTTCAGGCAGATGTGTGAAGTCTGTTGTAGCATATGTTAGTGCAGTATTCTTTTTTTTTTTTTAATGTGATAAGTTTTTATTGCTATTTGAAAATGAATCAGCACAAGAACTGACATTTGAGTTATTGGTATTATTATAATGCAGGTGTTCACAGAAAATTATACGTATTTTATTGGAAAAAATATTTAGTTCACTGTTTCTAATAATTTTTGGATGAAAGTAAATAATTAAATAATTGGTTATTTTCTGTTTTACATGATAAAATGGCTGAATGTGGTAAGATTCATTTAAATTTCTGTAGAATTTGGAACAAAAGGGAAAAAAGCATTTATTGACTGGTATGTAAATAAAAGGTTTACTTAATAGCCATGATATGTGTCCTGTTTGTAGGAAGGAAAAGTGTATGGTCGAACGTCAGAGGATGGAAAGCAGCAGGCACAATGGTCATATTTATACCCTGCAGCAATAAAGTGAACAAGAACATTTATTGACAAAAATAGTAACAAAATTGAAAAATTAAGTTAATAGAATTTTAAAAACTTTAGGAAGATTGGACTTAAAGTCATTAATTAAACAAGATAAATTTTTGTGAATATGAAAAGCTGGAATGTTTTTACTACAAGTTGGTGTGCAGTGTAGTAAAAACAGTAATGTGTAGTAAAACTAAATGTTTCACTTACATTTAGTTTCACTACATTCAGTCAAACTTTTTAATACATTTCATCTGTAATTCTAAAGAATGAAAACTCTTGAATTCACTTGATTTGTAATTCCTAGTTCTTCAATGGGTTAGCAGTACTTCTTCGGGAGGCTGTTTGCAACTTATAGAAATTTTAAAAAAATCACCATACTTTTCTTGCATTTTTCCGAAGTTCTCCAAAACTTCAAGTTAGCTTATAGATTTCCAAATTGGTCTATATGAACCCCCTCCAGGGATCCATTTGAACAAAAGAAAAAATAGGGTGTGCATGATACGTAAATAGGGGTCCACAAGACTGAATCCCATTTATAGGTTATCATCAAAATTTAAGTGTTCTGTAAATGTTATAATGCACCTAACACAGATTTTACCTGTGTACTTAAATAATACTTATGTAGAAGGCATATAAATTTTAGGATAATTATATATGAATTAAGTGTATTTTATGACTGGTGGAAGCAGGTACCTATACACTTTGTTGTCACAGCTATTATAATTTGTAAACACTTAACACATTTGATACCAGTAGCAATACATTATGTGCATATGTGCAGTAGCAACACATGTCCATGCATGTGTACCATAGCTTTGCAAGGGCATTGCAGATTTGAACCATTTCTGCTTGATGGATTTGTTTAATTCATCAATTGTAAATACAAATAACAAAGACTAACACTGCAATTTCTTTCTGAATTTTGAGAAGATAAGCAAATATTTTCAAAAATATAAATAAGTAATTAGGTGAATTAGAATCATGTTCTTTGAACTTTGGGAAACATAAATAATTTTTTTTTAGTATAAAATAGGCTAAAATTCCATAAGCGGGGTAAGTTCGCCCCAAACTATTTTGGCCTTCAAAATTTGGCGAATGTTTTAGGCGCACTAAATGAAAGCACTAAAATGTAAACAAAATAGTAACTTTTAAGTTTTGGGCAGTTTGCAGTAGTTAAACGCCGTTATTTTATGTAAACAAAATAGTAAAATGAGATGATAAAATACTAGATGAGTAAAACAAAGTCCAACAACTTTGCAAGTAAAAGCATAGTCCTATATATATGTAATTCATCATAAAATAGTAGAATGAACAATTCTTGTAAATAATTATTGAGTAAATAAATGTATACACTTATCAGATCAAAAGCACTGCGAAGTCAATTTTAAACGTAAACAGAATTGCAAATTATGCATATTCAGCATCATAAACTAACTAAAATATTCAAGTTACTATCGTTGTGGAATTCAACACACTAAACAATTTTGTTCAAAGCTTTAAATATTCCACATTTTTCAATTGTCATATGCAAGAAACAAAACTAAAAAATTAACTAAATAACATTCAATAAAAACGTTCATAAATTATAAACTTCATGTCATATGAAATCCAACATTCTCCTACCAACAGCTTAACCTTCTGCAAATATTTATATAAATATAATATTAAACATATATATAACAATAATAGTAAATAGTAAAATTATTAAAAACAAACACAGTATTGCAAAATTAAATTTAAAAAAAAATCTGTCTACACTAAATTCACGCTCTTACAGTTACCGAAATAAAGCTCTAGGTTTGCCACAAGAAAACATATAGCCGGAAACCATAAGCAAATTAAAATCGTGCCAAATAAACTCGCCAAGCTTGGCGCTCACCCCGATTATGGAATTTTAACCAAATATTGCTTTTGTCGATCCTTCGAATGCATAGACATTGATCATGTTCACAGTCCTGTGCAATTTCTAAAATTGAGAGCCTGTTCATCTAAAAATGACAAGTTCAAATTGTGGGGAGCAAAGCATTCTTCTTTAAAAAAACAGTATAATATTTTGCGTTATAATGAGTACAACCCAGTTTTAGATCAAGCAAGTACAGAGGGTGTTTACATGTTTTCAGAATGATTTGGAAGCCAATCAATTAATGTTGAAAATGTAAAGAATGTTTTTTTAAGTGTTTGATCTGATAGCCTTTTTTCTGAACTATACATCAGCATCATGATTTCCATTATTGAATGGCTTTTTGTAAAATTACCTGGGGTAATGATTTCCAGAGTCCATCAATCATGGTGGATTTTTACTTAGAAACAGCTATTTTCAAGGGATCAAAGGTACAATGGTCCATAGGTAAAATGTCGGGACTTCCCTGGAATGCATTGTAAACAGCTGTATCAATCCACTCACTTTTTTTTTTTTTTTTCCCCTAAGGAAAAGCAGTGGTGCTTTTCAAAGTATGACATATTGCTTTGTGTTGATGTTTCACTCTTTGACAGTCTCGAATAAAGAAATGGAATTTCTTCTGTAAATAATGGACATGAAATTTTCTCTTGATTATATGTTGAGTTGATTTTAACACTTTTTCCCCACTCTTCTTATTTTTAATTTTCCATTGTAAGAGAATTCTGTGACAATTATAAATCCCTTAGTAAAATCTTCTTTGCATTCACGAAATCAGGTTTGCACGTTTCTTTCGCTTCCACTTCTATAATAAATTGACCTTTTATTGTTGCAGTCATTTAGATGAACCCATGCTTCTTCAAGGGTCACAATATATTTTCATTTATCTTCTTGTAAATGGATTTCATACAGGGTTCTATAAATCAATGCTGCACTGAGTGCCATGCCTTGGCAAAAACTGGTGAACATCATGTTTTTCAGCTTTCATAAGTTGGAAAATTTTGATTTATTATTTTTTATTTATTTATTGTTGCAACATATGCATGTAAAGACATTTTTTCAACTGATTTCTGCATCAGTGGGTGTAAGTTAGGGCAGGGTAGTGTTCTAAAATTATTCAGCCAGAGGAAAACTTCACCTAACAGTTGACCTTTGACATTTCCATGCATTTTGCTTTCACCGAAATGTTTTGAAGTGCCTTGGGTGCAACTTTTCACTCTTCTGGAACAAGTGTAGATATTGCACTGCCTGACTAGTTTTGTAACAAGTGGTAAGAAGGAGTCTATAAAAAAACAGAAAAAAAATTGGCTAGATGTCTGTGAGGCAAAAATGTTTGAGAACCTACGGTTTAGCTTCTAGTGTGTCATATAAAGCTGCCAAATTGGCCTTGATTCATCCAGTCACTGCGTTCTTCATAACTAAGCTTAAACCATGAACATAAATTTGGACAAGTAAATCATTTTTTAACAAGCTTTTGGATAATTTTCAGCTGTTGCCATAAAGCTCTCAATTAGGGGTTTCAGCTTTTGATTTTGGTTCCACAGATTGCACTGGATATTGCACCTTATCTTCTTCAGGCAAAGACTTGTCTTCATTAATCTTCTGAAATAGATTGGAGAATGACAAGTAATCCTTTGTGTGATCTGAATTTTTTTTCACTTCAATTTTTGGTAATTTAATTTTTTGTCTCCTTTTCTAGCTGTAGCAGATTCTTGTAATTTATTCTCCAGTTTAACACAAATTTCTGTATGTGTAATTTTCAACTTCTTCAAAATCATTCCTACCATCTTCAATCTTCAGTAAATTTTCAGAAATCGATGACTGACAACCTTCAAATCTCTGAAAGTTGTCAATTAATTGCAGTTTTGAAACTACTCTGATATGCGCCCTCAAGTCGCCAAATTTCTCGGCAAACATTTTTGGCGAGAAACTTCATGCTGCCATATTACTATCTAAATTTTTTGTCTACATTTTGAACTTTTAGCCTAAAATGTCTCGAAAAATGCGGTTTTCTCACATGCAAAAACTACGTTTTGAACACACAATTTAGCTAAAAATCCGAAACAAAAACAAAAAATTTAGATAGCAAAAACGTAAAGTTTCTAACCAAAAATATTTTACAAGAATCCATGTACACAGCGACATGTTTTAACTTAAAAAAACATGTACAAATTGCACAATGTAGGCAATGAACGAATCTACAAACTATGCAGACTTCGCTTTAATAAATTGACATAACAACAATAAATTTCAAAGAATACCATGTACACAGCATCCTGTTTAAACTTTAAAAAAATTCTACGAATTGCACAATTTAGGCCAAGGAAAGGAATCTACGAATCTACGCACTCCTCCCTTTAATAAAATTAACATAACAACAATAAATTTCAAATAATACCATGTACACAACCTTCTGTTTCAAACTTAAAAAAACATCTACGAATTGTACAATCTAGACACTTGCGCACAAATCAACAAAATAAACTAAAATAAATTTCAAACAATTTTAAAAAACAACAATAACGAACATAAATTTATAGTAAAGAAAACAATGAACATAACATTCTACAAAATAAGAACAAGGATAAAATAAAATGCACTTACCATGAATTAATGCGTTTTCGAATAGCAGAAATATAAATTTCATACCGCCTTTAACATGCCGCCACATAATCACTATCGTATTTACATGACAGCCAGACACACTATCCAGAAAATTTATACTATGGTTCACAAATAAATAAAATCACAAATCCTTACTTCTATCATGCACTGCCATTAAAAATAATCTCCCAGACCCTCTTTCCACAGTTCCAAATACCCACTACCCCTCAACAGGATAGCCACAATCATATTTCCTTTTGCCGAACTTCAATTCAACAACTACCATTTTATCTTCCCTCCCATCTTCTCAGACACAGAGGCGAAACCAACGAGCTCCAGCGAAAGATTTTTCAACGTAAACAGGGTTGCCATAGAACACGCAATCGCACCAAAAACCAGCGCAGAACACATATCGCCACATTTGGTGAAATTAGGGTGTATATTAGAGTTGTACCGCAGTTTTAAAATGGAAATGTCATTCAGTGTTCTTCTGACTGAGAGTAAATGATGTTCTCTGTCCCTTCTCTTGTGCTTTTAAAGCATGCAAGTCCATCTGGAGGAAATAATTCAAAATTCTAAACTCAAAGAACCTTCCGACCAAGGTATTGGTATAGAATACCAGTACCCTCGGCCATATTCTTATGTTGCGAAAGAAAAGCCAAAATTTTTGGCATCTACCTTATTTAAGAGGCTTTTTAAAATTCATGGGGAAAAAAAATCGTTCAAAAAAACATGCAAACACTTGGGCAAGGGCAGGCAGAATGCTAAGTATTTCCTCACATAGCAAAGCTAAACATGTTTTTACGTTGTTGTGCAATCTAGAAGCTGAGCAAACAGCGATTATTTTGCATTCCAAACACATTTCCAGAATGAATTGTGTTTGTGAACAAAAGTACCATTGTTTTTGATTAAAAATCTGTTTATTTTTAAAATCCCATGTTTATTTAAACAGAATTTATTAGCTTTTGCAAAAGGACTTCAAATGTTACTTGCATTAGTCGTGTAATTCTTGTTAAATGTGTAAGTAGAATTGTCTCCCTTTTGGCCTTTTTCCCACCTCCCCAGAAGCCTCCAAACTCTAAAACTTTGTTATCGGCTCTCGCATTAAGGATTATGTAATTTAGATTAAATTTCAGTGCAGTTTTCTCACAGGTGGTAAATTATCATCTTCGTTTTTCAATCTGTTATCTTTATTATCGGAGCAACACGTGAAGTAAACTTGAATTTGTTTATGACTTACCAGCTCAGAAAATTTGTCCAAATGTTTTATTTCATTACTTGAGCACACTTTTCCATGCAAGATCTATAATCACTGGCTAAAAAATAGCAATCCTGAATAGCAGTATGAATCTACATAGTCTACATCCTTTCATTTTTTCACTAAATGCTTCAGTATCTTCTAGGTTTGTCTTTTCTGCATTCATATGAAAGGTAATTTAATGAATCATATTTTAACAAGGTATAGTTTATTTTTTAAAAATTAATCAGGTTTCTGTAGGAATGATAAATCATAAACATTATGTGGCAGTAATGTGATGCTGTGCTGAAACATACTTTTAAAGAAGCTAATTAGTATGAGGCTGTTATGACTTCAAGCATCCTGTGTGTAGCAAAAGTAAATTATGTAAAAATTATTCCTCCAAAAATAAATTATTAAATATTTGCTGTACCTCAATTGCAATAAAAAGTCATAAAATACGTCTGTTGCAGCCGGGTGTCTCATCCACACATCACTAGAGATTGCATTTGCATTCAGAGGACGGGTGATGTGGATTGCATTTGCATTCAGAGGACGGTTGATGTGTATATGCATTTTAAGCTGGAACGTTTTTATGAAGGCTACTAGATGGCATTCTATGTCCATTACTTTTGAAATGAACACAGTTTTAGGTTCCTGACTTTGAGTTTGATATATTCTGTCTGACTTTAGTATTTTATTCATCAACTGTTGCGAGGGTGTGGGGGAGGAAAAGCGTAAACAGAGGTACTTTTAGGGTTAATATGTCGAGTTCTTCAGATATATTTCCGTTTCTTCTCTTTTTATTTCAGAAAGCCTCACGTCCAGTCTATTATGGCGGCAAGGCACTATTTATCAGAGGAATAATACCCTCGTATGGTTAATGAACCATTTACTAAAGCAGATGAGAGTGGTGATTCGTTTTCTAAAGAGTTAGAAAGTGATACTTTTTCTAAGAGGAAAGTGATGCTTCAGGATTTACCAGTCTTCATTTTAAATTTTGTTACTTCTTGCTGTAAATAGTCTTTATTGTGTTGTTTTATTAATTTTAAACTTTATTGATTAATTTTATCAATTAAAACTGGAATTGATGAAATTCCAGTTTTAATATCAAATGGAATAATTAATATCAATTGGAATAATTTGAATAGCGCTTCCGAAAATTATTTTAAAAGATAAGGAAATTTTTAAGTATATTTTCATGTGAAATAAAGAAGAAAACATTATTAAGTGCTAATTTTAACATATATAAGAGCTCGAGTAATAATCTAAAATGATACCAAAAATTACAGTGCTAAAAGTGAAACTTTTTTTCTGATTTTTTTTATAAAATTAGGCTTAGCAATGCAAAATCTCCGTCCTGTACAGTGACTGCCTTCAATTTCCTTCCATCCCGCACGAGCCCCTTAAACAAAGGTGCGCCGTCACAAAAAGGTTAAAAAGGAAAGCTGTCACTAACAAAATAAATATATTAATTAATTAAGATCACGTGTGATCCTAGGAACTTAGAAGGCTTAAATTTGTCTGCTATTTATTTGTTACATTGCCAATGTAGAATTGACATCATCACGAAATTTTGAAAGTGTAAAATATTTCAATACGCTCTGTAACACTTCCATTGCGTTTTAATAGCAATATCCTACTATATACTTTCAGTTGCTGTCTGTGTAATCACAAATAGGAATCAAATAGAAAATGGTATTTTCCCTTACATTGAATTATGGAATTAATAGGGTAAGTGTATTCCAGAAGAGCCAAGCTAAGTAGTAATTTATGAGAGCTGTATACCTTCGAATACTTTTTTAAAAATTTTTTAATTTGTGCATTTAATTTTGACTTTAAAGTAATTAATGATGAAAAAGTGAAGTAGCTAAGTTATTTAATGACCATTAATTTTGTATTTTTGGAGTAAAGTAAGAAAACAAGCAAAAAATCAGCAATATTTACAATAAATTGGAAACACTGTTAAAAAAAAAGTATGATATATTTTCATATTTTGTAAAATGCAAACCCATCATAATAATATTCTCAAGGAGGTAGACTATTATTTTAAAGCTAGGAAGTTTAAAAAAAAATTTAAGCTAGAATGTGTATTATAACAAGAAAAAGCATATTTTCTCATTAAAATTCATGTTTACCATATAATAACTTTATAAAAAATGCATTTATCAATTAGTAAGTAGTCTATCTCCTTACACGAAGTGTTCTAAACATGTATACCAAATTGCATAAGATTTCAACCGTAATTTTTAAAGATATTGGATTTCTTGTTAGCATTAAAACATGAAAAATGAGATAATCAATTACCTACTTTTAATCAGTTTGTAAACTTAAAATTCCCCTGATTTATAACTAATGCCCTCTTGTTTTTCAGAATTTACATTTCCCCACTCAGCTTTTTAAAGCCAAATCAGGGAATGTCGTTTTGCGTTGTTGATACGGTTAACATCAAATTTTCATACTCGTTTGCAGTGTAGTAACCAATATCTATACCTAATTTACCTAATCTGTACCAATATCTATGTATATCTATAAAAATTAATGAATATTACTCAGTAATAAATAAAAAAAGCTTATCAGCAATGTAAACACAGAATCCAAACACGAGCAAAAATGCATTAGTGAATTCATAAGACAGAGCTTGAAAATATGCTAGAACTTTGTTTTGTTGCCATCACAAAAATATTTTTTGGTCTTTAAAATGCAATTAAATAAAGTGTTAAGCCCCAAAAATAAAAGTAAACAACTCTGACACACCCACTTTGGCCTTTTAAATATTTACATCTTATGCACTTACAGTATGCTTTTCGAAAACAAGGTGTCAAATAAAGTATCATAACTCAGGTTTAAATGAATGTAGGAATAAAATTCAAACAGTTTTGGAAACATAAGAAATAAAACTTTCATCGAGTGTAAGGGGGAAAAAAAAGGAGTTTTTTAACCAAAATCTAGGTTTCTAAGGTATACAGCCTCCTTATGAAAAATTTTCTTTCATGAAGTTATGTGAAAGGTTTTTCACAATAATGTAACGTAGAGTTTAAAATTTCGGTATTTTTATAATTGCGTTGTATTTTTAGTTTGTAAAATAATAAACATATTTTTAGTGAAAAGTTTTTTTAAATTTAAAATTAAACATTAAAACAGACTATAAATTATCTTAAATTAGCAAAGTGTTAAAAAGCCTGCAATATATTTTCAAATTATATATAAATGCAAAATGAAAATGAAATTTGAACTAAAAAAAAATTGAGAATAAAACATATATTATATATATATCATAAAATACTATAATTCTGTTAAATGCAAAAACTGGCATTTTTACAGATATCCTTTGATTATGTGAGTAATTAATCCCTTGATATTATTACATGCATCACAATGTTAAATAAGATATTTTTAGCAATGAAAGAATTAAAAGTTGTTTATAGTGTGTCCTTGTACTAATAATTTATTCTATTTTTATGTTACTTGATTAGGAAGAATGGTAAATGAATACAAAGTAATATCTTTTACGTACATTAGTTTCCACAATTTTTGGTTGAGGGGGAGGCTGTGTTTGGGTAGAGAAAAAGTTTGGGTAGAGAAAAGTTGCCTAAACATTTTAGTTTCATCAGCATAAACCTCATGTAACAAATGAAATGGCTATTTATATTTTTGCAAACAAGTATGGTATAATCAACATCTAAATCTTCATCCGCTGCTGTTACTACCTCAGATCGTTATCTCCTTTGGACCGTAAGTATCATGGATTTTTTTCATTTTGTAAATGAGTATCATGCATAAATTAACAACTTCTCAATATGCATGATTAATTTAAATTTACATTTAAAAAAAAAAAAAAAAGTTATTGAGATCCCTCAAGCAGTTGCTGTAGAAAAGATAGTAACAATTATCTCAGTAAAAGTTAATTGATGATTTCTTAACAATATATGTACACTGCGCAAAAAAAAGGGGGGCAGTTCTATATCTCCCGTTCTACTGGGCCGGTTGACCGAATTCCATGTTTCATGTCTCGAAAGTGCGACTTAGGATATATATTAGATTTATATATAGCTTTATTCTAACATAGGTATTTTGACACAAAATCAGACTTTTTCTGAAATGACATACCAATTTTTTTACATATTTCAATTATTATGTCAGACAGCCAAGTTTTGTAAAAATCGTACGACTAGTTTTTAAAAAATTAGCTCTCAAAATTTTAGCTCCTCAATGTTAATTTAATTTGTCATATATTTATTAATATTTCTTTTTCTTTATTTTTCCTTACACATTTCAAAATTCAGGTTCATTCCAAATAAAATTCACCCATTTTTTATGGTTTATTTTTAAAATTTGTATTTTTAAATAATTTTTAAAAATTTTTTGAATAAAATTTTGAAATAGAATCTAAAACATTTTTACCATCATCTTAAAGTAGATTTATTTCTAAGCATACCTGCAAAAAAGTAAACTTTTTATTAAAAATTTTCTAAGATATACACGAATTTACATATTTTCGCGTTTTGAAATTTGGCATCCTTTTTTTTTTTTTTTTTTTTTTTTTTGAGCGATAATAATGCCAAATGTGGTTTATGGGTTTTTGTTACAGTGAACTGCCACTGTTATTTTTAACCTTAAATTTCAAATAAATGTTTATGGAGAATTAATTATATGAAATTTTTTCCCTCAATGATGCATAATAAATATTTATTAATACTACATGAAAAGGTATTTTTTTTAATTATAGATGATATTCAAATTTTGAACTTTTTTTACTTTCTTTTTTTTTTTTTTTTTTTTTTTTTTTTTTTTTTTTTTTTAATATTTGTAAGAAATGTTTACTGTGTTATCGTTTGGTACTTTACTTTGACTGCATTTAAACTGAATTGTCTAAGACTGAAAAAGTTTGATGTTTATTTTCACAATGTTTTTAAGCAAACAGGACATTGACAGTTTGGGTCATGTCCCAGCTTTAAAAATTATATATTATAAATATAAATTTTTACATTAATTCTCTTCGAAAGAATGTTTTATGTAGCTAATTTTATCTCGTGTTATAAATTGTATAAAAAACATGATCTTTAATATGATTTAGATTGTTTGTAGCTGATATAATAACCGGGTAACTCAGTGGTACAGAATTAACATTGTTGGACTGTTTTATTTCTTTGTCATTTAGCAAAAAATCTTTTAATTTAAATATTTATCCTTTGGACTTTGCTTTAAACATTATTTATAGTTAAAATGCCTATAAAATGAAAAGCTGTCAGCTGAAACGCAGTTGATGTAATTGATATTAAAAAAAAAAAAAATTACAAGAATGCAAAATTTTTATGGAAGTGTAACAATCGATAAATCTTAACTTTCTTGTGCTGAGCACTGAAAATAAATGTAGAAGGAAAGAAGAAAATTAGGGAGAAAAGTAAGTAAAAATTTGAAGGGGAATTTGGCTGTCAGAAATACCAAGGTGTTTCGAAAAGTTGGATGCTTTTGAATATACTTTCAGAATACTTCAAGGAATTTGGGTGTTCAAAGAGAAAACACTTGGATGTGTACACCAGCAAATACCATCAATTGAGCTTGTGCTACCGGAAAAGACAAAACAATATCATTGCAGATTTAAGTGAAGAGCGACTGGTTTTCGACTATATGTTTGTATAAATTTAAATTACGTTATAAAACATCATATCATCATAAACAGAAAAAAACCCATGATTTCTTAGTCGAATTATTTTAATATTCATGAATTTATCCAATAACGTATGTGGATGTCACCTAAAGATGTTTTTCCTCTTGATGAAACCAGTCTTTCCTTTCATCTCATGCCTTAAAATGCTTAGCCTCTAAAGACTAATAAAGGCTCAGACCATGTACTGATGAAATGGATTTAATTGGAATTATTAAGTTACGGCAAAGCAGGGCTATCTGCCTAAAAGGAGGCCTTCGTGAAGAACGTTCTAAGGGAAACCAGCTGGCATACACGTTACAACGAGAAAAACCATGAACCAGCCCGTTTCGAACCCCTGAGCGAACTACCAGTGTTCAGCGACTTTACCGCTCAGTCGTTGCTGGCTTCATGGAATGGAAGACGATAAATTTATTTAAAGTGAATGTCAGAAATACCAAGATGTTTCAATAAAGGTTAGTATGCTTTTTAATATACTTGCAGAATACCTGAAGAAAAAGAGCAAGCCATTAAGAAGAAAAAAAAAAAAATTGCAGAAAATTTATTATTTTATTTACTTGCAGAATACCTGAAGAAAAAGAGCAAGCCATTAAGAAAAAAAAAAAAAAAAAAAATTTGCAGAAAATTTATTATTATTTTTTTTTTTAAATTTATTTATTTAAAACTTTTTAATCTTATGATATTTGATTCTTGCAATTCAATTTCAAAAATAAAATATTTGACTAAGATATGAATAACATTTTAAGAAACTAAATGTAGGATGATAAAATTGTGTAAAGCAATGAGCATAATGTTAAAGCAATATATGCAAGTCATCCTAATTTAAAATGTTGGTTATACATCTTTCTCATTTAATATATCTTTTCTAAATGGAACATTGAAAGGCGGGTTAAGTGTGCTTTACTGTATTTTCTCTTTTAATATATTCAGTTTTCAGATGCATCATAGTCTGGGACACAAAGTATTCTTCCGAAAGAAACGCAATTGAAATAAATAAAATAAAATCCTGGAAAATTTATATTAAAATATATTTAAAAATGCCTTTCGAATGAATAAATAGAAAATTTTAAAACAATTAAAATAAAAGTTTAAAAATTACCTAAAATAATAACTATGCCAAAAATCATAAAGAAAACTATTTGAAAAAAAAATAAACGATGCAACTTTTATTTAAGCTACGCAGTTCAAATGGTTAAATAGAAATTTTTAAAACAGTTATTCGAAAGAAGCCGTGCAACTTAAACAATTAAAATGAAATTCAAAAAAGAAAAAATTACTTAAAATTAATAACAATTATAATTAAAAATATAATATAAAGAGCATTATTTGAAAAAAGGAATAATTGTGACTTTTTTCCTGCTCGCGAGAAAGGAAAATAGTTTGCCATATATTAAGAAGCTCGCCAAGTGGCGCAAGCTGAAAAAAGCGACAACAAACATTTGTGAATTTTTCCATAAATTTCGCACCAAATCTTAACAAAGTATCATATTTGGGCGTAATTTGAGTCGTAGAATCAAAATATGGAAAAAAATTGGATTGTTATTTCAGAAAAAGTCCAATTGTGTGTCAAAGTAACTATGTTAGAATGGAGCTATATATAAATCTAATATATATCCTAAGTCACACTTTCAAGACATGAAGAATGAAATTTGAATTTCATCAATTGGCCCAGTGGAACGGGAGATATAGAACTTCCCTCCCCCCCCTTTTTTTCGCAGTGTACAGCTATGGGAGAAATGATTGCTTGCTAAAACAAATTATATACACAGAATTGCCAACTCTCCCGACAACCGACTTTCTCTTATTCTTAAAACTTCTCATGATTTTTATGTAGCTTGGCTTAATACTTCGTTATTTGCATCCCAAAAAGTGATTTTTGGCATCTGAAAGTGCTTTTTCTCTAGATGCATATAAAAGGAACCAAAGTTGTTTCATCACCGAGATATGGCGCATTTCTGCTTTTCTATGAAAGTCCGAAAACATTGTGTTGCAGTTCTCCAATGAGAATCAGACGCCACTGTGGGTCATCTAGCATATATTAGCCAATAAGCACAAAGCAAGATCAAGGTTGTTTATTTTATTCATCTCACCATTGAGTAGCGTACTTCCCAGAAACAGATTAAGAAACTGCAATATTTTATCTTAGTTATGTCTGCAAGAAATGTAATATATTCATGTACTTTTCAAAAATCGTACACAGATACATTTCCTTTATTATTTCATCAAGGAATTGTAATATTGCATTGTGTATTGCTTGTCATTGCAATTGTTTAGTTTTGCATGGTGGAAGGTCCAATCTTCTTAAACATTTGTGTACATAAAGGCAATGTGAGTTGTATTTGAAGTGGAGACAAAGGACCAAAATGTTATTAATGCAGAATGCCTGTTCTCTGCCTTTTTACTGGAGCACGACCTGTCACTGAATGCTTCGGATCATGTTGCAGCTTTTTTAGAAAAATGTTTCCAGTACTGAGAAATACTCAAGTGCAAGGACAAAAATGGCTGCAACTGTAGAAGAAATTGGTATGAAAAATAAATCTTCAGGTGTTTATTTCATTAAAACAGTTCCTTTCTGCCTCTCTACGGATGGAAGCAATAATACGTATGTAAAGCTATATCAATTTTTAGTCCAAAGGGGCAGTTTCCCCAGAAGGAGTATTAATTTCATTTTGGCATTTTGCATTGAATCACTAAAAATGATGTATCACTTCTTCAGAATGTTGCCAGTAATTTTTTTAATTAAAATTTTTGTAAGGAAAGTTTAACAATTAAAATATCTTTCTTCTTCTACAATTTTCAATGTTTTCCCCCAAATTTTCTGATTGTGTTTATTAGAGTGTTCTTAGTAACTGTAAGGATCAATTTTTCAATTAATGAATAACTAGTTTCTGAGAAAAAAAAATAAAAACAAATTCTTATGTAAAAACTTTGAAACAAATATGATCTCAGTCACATTTTCGCTTCAAATAGTTTTTCTTTTCAGTATTTGTAAAACCCATCCTTGTTTCTTTAAAGTATATAATTTTAAATAACCGGTAAAAATATTAAGTAATTTAGCCCATATCTGTATAAGTTTTAGAACTTTTAAGTAAAAGGATTTATCAAAAAAATGTAAACTGAGAAAATGCAGTTTAAAGAATGTAAACTACCTAAATGGTCATTAAATCATTTCAAATTTCTTAAAAATTTTATTGCTGAATTTCAATACATGTATATACAATAAAACTTAGTGCTATTCAATTTGTTAATATAAACATAAATTACAAGCTTTTATTTAAAGTCTTTGTAAAACATGTTCAAAACAATTTTAGTACATGAATTAATTATAATATGTTTTCTAAAACATTTATAATCAATTTAAGACATTTATAATTAATATTAATAATTATCATTTTATTTTATTTTTCAAAAAGCAGAGTTTAAAATTTTAACAGCCACAAAGCATTGTATTCAAAACCGTTCAGCCGCATACGGGATTTCATTTCTTTTTTTAACCATTTAGTCTCGTATATAAAATGCATTTAAAATTAATTTAGGTGTATTTTAATTAATTAAAGAGTTAAACTCCGATGGCGTTCTATTATAGCAATAGTAAACAATGTCAAAAAAGATATAAGCAAATGTTAGAAATTCGCCAATCCGATTTGCGTTTGTGACATCATTGCTCACAGTGGCTTATGGTTTAAGGGATGAAAAACGATGTGCACCTGAACCGGTCCTGAAGATGAAACTGCTTCATATCCCCATTTCTCCCTACTACAAAGAGCGTTGCATGTGAACAGGGCTATAGGCTGGTTACTGGGGTGAAGTTCTACACCACATCGTAAGACTTTATAGCAGCTTTTGGTCATGATTTCCTCTTCGTAAAGGTAGCATCTTTAACCAGCACCTGGAGAATAAGGGTATTTCTCACATAGAATAGCTATGATATTCCAAAGCTCTTAGTCTTGCTGAAAATCTCGAATGCCCTCGGGCATGCTGTCTCTGCTCGTTTAACAGCTAGTCGCAGGTGGTTTTAAACTGCTGTTATGGAGGCATGACCATTGCTAACATCTGCAATAGTTCGTGAACTGTTTGAAAGAATCAGAAGTTGCTATAAAGCTTGTGTGAAGGTCCAGTTTGGTCACATACTTTTTTAATGTAAGCTTTGTTTGTTTTTAGCTTTAAGCATGAGTTTGTTACTGTCTGAATTGTGATGTCATGGTATAATTTACAAAATCTAAATATTGTTTTTGTTCATCGTGCTTATTTTCTTCCATATATCGATACATTTGCTGCCTTTACGTGCAATTTGATGTTAATCGAAGCTAAATTTTTCCACTTTTGTCAATTTTACTGTCATGTGCTTGACTTTCAGAAGTCACTTGTAAATGAATTACACTAGAAAAACATTCATTAGAAATGTAGAAGGATGAAATGTATCTGTCATTCTATTTTATCTTTTTATCAGTTATAAAATGCCACAGATTCTCCGGAAGTTAAATGGTGAGGTCATGTTCTGTTTTCAGTATAATTTGTTGTTCAGTTCTTAAAAAATTCTGTCTTTGACTTTACTCTTAGGAAATTTATAGCATATCTGGTCAGTGTAGTTTGAAATATAATTGCCAAGATAAAAGAGCACTGAAATTTTGTATCCAAGAACCTTACTATCAGAAAGGAGAAACAAAAACAGTCTTTGGTAGGTAATCATAATTAGAAACTTAATTTTGCAAAAATTATCCATAAAGCTTTTCAGTGGGTGGATTTCTTTGAAACTGTTCACAATTATAAATATTAATCTTCTTTCATTAATGACATTAATGCCATTTCAGTCTTTCCTAACGTTTTCTGAAGTTCTAATACAGTACAAAGTATTGTTTTTGTACTATACTTTGTACAAAGTCTGTAATCTGGACTCGGACTTCTGTGATTCCGGATTATAGATAATCAATTTAAATCTGGTAAGATGGCATGCAGAAATTATACAATTAAAAATATGGAACCATAATTTATAAAATAAACAGCAATTAAGATCTAGAGGGTATAAAAGTTTACAAAAAAAGTTTAATATTTATTTGTTTACTTTTAAACATTTCTTTTCAATGTAAGTTGTTTAAGTTGCTTCGTTTTTTGTGCTAATACTTTCTCTTTAATTCTATAAACAGACATAATTTATTGTTCAGTTACAAAGTTCCACTGTTCAAGTCCTGTAATTGCTGTGTCGAGAATACCAGCTAATTTGTCAATCGAAATTTTTTCGTTTTCAATAACATCTCTGTCACTTTCTTCGCTATCGGAAGCAGTATTTTCTGGATCTAGAACCGTACTACAGATTTCACCATCCGTTAACTGATTGATGATTGGGGCAATGTCGTCGCAATGAAAAACTTCTATTATATCATCTTCATTTATTACCGCTTCTCCACATTTCTTTACAAAATTGAATAACTGGAAAATTTCACCTTTAGTTTGCAATGTCCGAAAACCTTCAAATTCACGGCTGTCATCTTCATCAACCTCACCATGAAATATGGTAGCTGGCCTGTGCCAAGCATTTTTTAACGTACTTGGAGACACATCCTCCCATGATCTTGCTATGCTCCACACAGCAGATTTTATGCTAAAAAAGTTCAAAATGTCTTGAATAGTCTTCCATTGTTCAAGGAAATTTAACATAGATTTTAAAAATGCTACTTTATATTTGCATTTCAGTGCGTGCACTATTCCCATATCCATATGTTGAATGATAGATGTGCAATTTGGAGGAAGATAGACGGACATTATTTTCACTTTAAGTGAAATATGCGCTGAACAGTTGTTAACAATCAGGACTATTTTTGAGCCGTCAGGTAAACCAACCAAATTCAAATATCACCGAGCCTTGGGTATAAAATGATTTTCAAATCAATCATTCATCAACGCTTGTGTCATCCATGCTCTTTTTATTTGCGCGATATATAACGGGGGAAATCGTTTCTCCTTTAATCCATTAACTGCCAAAACTACAAGGAATGTTTCTTTTCTCATGAAAATAATAACAAATATTAAATTAAGTATTTATAACATGAATTTACATTGAAAATTTAAAAAAAAGCTCTTACCTGTGGAAAAAGCGAGTCTTGCATTCGCGCAATGTCAGCGGAATAAGACTACGGATGTTTAGTGAATAGAATTGTAACTCGTGTGATGTTTCTTTTGATGGAGCGCAGATTACTTTTTAGCTGTATAAAGTTTTATAAAATCTACAAATCACTTTACTTGTAATTAATTTAATATTAAAATATACATTATATTTCTTTTATAAATACAGATTATTTCATTTGAAGATTCAAGCATGAAAAGCTTGATTATGATCATGATGTAAAGCTACATTACATACTTTGCATCTATAAACAGTCTGGCTATGGTACTCTTTACAGCAAATGGTTTTTGAATACTGAATTTACTAGGTCTTCCTGTTGCTGATCTATTTCTGGCTAATTCTACACTCTCAATAGGAGTTTGCAAAAGGAGTAATGCATTCTCGCGTCTGAAATCTAAAAGAAACTTTATATTTCCAGTAGTAAAAATTGGTGATATTTAGTAAGTTTAGATACGGTCTCACCTCATATAATTTATCGGTATTGTCAAATGCAAATTCTGCTTCATATTCCTGTACTGTAAATGTGATATCAATTCTCGTATAACAGGAATAGAAATGTCCTTATTAAAGATCAATACACTTTTTCTTGAGGTAAAGAATGATATCCTGTAAGCAATGATATTCCAATAAGTAAATCTTCTCATATAGGATTCAGATACAATAAATTCAGGGCATTTTTTTTCTTTTCCCCTTTTTTTTTTTTTTTTTTTGCGCACATATTTGTCTGTTCAACGAGAAGAGAGTAAATGTCTAAACCAAAAAGGGAATCAAAAATCTGTGCATTAGTTTTACCTTGTATTTTCTTTTACAGTTTCTCTTCTATCTCTTTCTTCGTGTTCTTCCTGAGACATGACTAACAGTTCCTTTTTTATCCACTTCAAGCTTTTAGTCGTCTGCTTTTTAAACTTTTTAGTATGACTACAACGGCTTTAGAAGGCTGAAATTACTTTTACAATGAATTTCAACTTCTCCAGCAGTATCATTTGGTAAAATATCATTATCATATTTAAAACATTGCCATTCCTTTTTCTCATCATTAGCCTATACAATTTCTGGGGGAACAACAGCAATATCAGTTTCATTCTGGTCATTATTAACATTATCATCATCCGTTTCTTCATCAAAAAATCTTTGAAGGGCTTCTTCTAATGTAAGATACCTCATTCTAGGCATTTTTAAACAACCAGAACATGAAACAGAACATCGAAAGGAATGAGTGAAAAAGGAGATTGACTACCCGTTTCCTGCTGACGTTGTGTCAGCGCAACACCTGTTTTCCCTTCCTTCCCAACACAAATATAACATCGACTGATGTAATGTTCTGATAAACGGTGACCTTTACTAAAAATAGATCACTCATAAAGACAGCAATTCTTTCGTTAAATATTTTCAGCAAAAATACCCGGTCAAAAATTTTGCTTAAATTTGCTTAAAGTATGAGATTAATTATTATAAACAAAATGATTGTGAAGGCAAATATTTTTTTACAGAAATAATCTTCATAATATTCTACAAAATCATCTGCAGCTAAAAATATCTTGGTAGTTATATGTATACGCATTATTTTGACCGTTGCGTCACGCAAAAGAGGCTAATGGTTAAATGCTCGAGGTCTGCAGTTTTCCAATTATAAAAGTTTGCACTTGGCGTTCCTGCAGCATTTGCGCTCGCTAATTGGTTAGTCTCGCTTTGGAATCTTTGACACCAGTTGAGCCTTTTCTGTAGAGGTTGCCAAGGCATTTTGTGGTACATATTGCAGAAAAGACCAGTTTATCGTTGTAAATGTCTTAGATAATTTTCATATGAAATTTTTAATGTCTCTTATACCATGGCGGATTTGAATTTGGTTAACCACTGTCGAAATGTGCACTAGTGTTGAGTTCCTTCTTCATGAAATATTTTGGCTGAGTCTTAGAGGGACCCGTCAATGGCAACGCCCTCGCTACGACGCTCTGACCCATTCAATCGTACGTCGTCATGACCGTCGCTTTAGCATAATGACCCTTTTTCTGTTATTCATTGCAAGGGGGGTAGGAATCCACAAAAATTCAAAAGTTCCTTTTCTTTTGCTTATGTAATATACAGTTAACTTTCTAATTCATACTCCGCATTAATTGGAGACGGATATGCCTTATCCATTTTTTGTTTAGATGGACTCGAAAACATGCTGATTTGGATCCTTTGGCAGCTCCAGAATTGAAACTCTTTTTGACATAATCGAAAGTTTAAGCTTAATTTTTATAAAATTGCTCTAACAGTCTGCAAAAAATAATAAGCCAGATCAAATTAGAAGATTAAGGAACGGCGTAATCTGCAACGTTAACTGGAATGCCTTAGAATCAGTAAAGATAATTTTAGCCTAGCTTATACTGTCTGTTTACTGGCCTTTTCATACTTTGCATGATGCTACAATGAAAAAGAAGTTTCTAAATTATATGCGCTGAGAAAATTGGGTTAGGGATACATGAAGCAGTAAAAAATTTGATATATTTTTTCTTGGATATAGAAAGCAAATCACCTCATATAGAAAGCAAATTAGTCTTTTTACATTTTTCAAACGTTGTTTTATAATAGTTTGCTTCAAAAACTTAAAATGTTCCAGTTGAGGATCTATCTGAAAAAAAAGTAGGGCAAAAATTGCATGGAATCATTACTTCATGATCAGCTAAACAATTCTGTTGTTCAAAATTCACTTCATTATTACTAACAGGAAGATTGTGAAAGATTACTGAGAAATCGCTACTCAAAATAATAATAATAATAATAATATTTTAATGATTATGAATTTTATATACGTAGTGCAAGAGACCAAAAATACTTAAAAAACTTATACTTAATACTAAAACTATGCTTGATACTTAAAAAATTCCAATTTCTTTATTCTTGCTCAATCAAAGCAGTACAGGGTTAATTTTAAGTTAAAGATATATCTAACTTCTGGCAGTAGCTATAAAAGCAATGAGTTGAATCTTGTTTCTGTACTGAATGAGGAAAACTTTCAGTAATGTCCTCTTTCAGTAATGTTAAAGCCATCTGCATATCTCCAACTGTAATGCAATTTTAACTCAGCTTTTTTCAGTTCGGTATTTTTCAGTTTCCAAATATATATATATATTTGGGGGGAAGGGTCTTCCTAACTAAAAAGCATTAGAAAATATTTTCTGTGACCCTTTTCCTTTTGCCTGAAATCATTAACTGCATACTTTCAATTTTCAAGTAAGTTTTCTTCTCCAGTTACTTCTTTATTAACTTTTTTTTTTTCCCCCTGACATTTGAGAGACTGTGCTAGTGGACTTTTGGTCTCTTCTTCAAAATGTTCTGAAGAGGAATTTTGAGCTTGAATAGTTTCAACCTTGTTTTAAGGTATTATGGAATTACAACAGTGGATTTTCAAATTATATTTAAAATTATTTAATATTTAAGAAAGCATGATTTTGTGTGTTCAAGTGTAATAAATAGTTTTTCAGTTGTATTGGCCTGCAGCGACCGAGCAGTAAAGTCACTAAACACTGGTAATTCTACCTGAGTTTAATTGCAGGCCAGCTGACTGTTTGAATGGCTGTTTTCATGGTTTTTCTCATGTGTAACACGGATATGAGCCAGTTTCCCGTAGAAAATCCGCTATGAAGGCATCCCTCCTCTTAGGCAGATAGTTCTCGTGTGCTTTGCCATAATCAAATAAACATAAATTGTATTTTGATGTTAATATCAAAGTTCTGCTCATCATTTTTCTGTTGCATAATGGATTTTATTTTTCTGTTTCAGATATGCCTGTTTCTGGGAAAATAAATGATTGCTTGCCTGACTTAGCTTTATGTCCATTGAATACTTCCAACATTTCTGATAGCATTCACGAAAGCCAACCATTACTGAGCAAAATGGATTCGGAACCTTGCTGTAGTATGAACGTATTTCCTGAAGATATCCAATTCACAACAGTTGTCAGAGAAGCAGAACATGCCATTATACATGGAATAATGCCAGAACGAATCTATCAAGGTTCCAGTGGTAGTTATTTTGTTAAGAATTTTAACAGTGTGAAAATTGGTGTATTTAAGCCAAAGGATGAAGAACCTTATGGCCGATTAAATCCGAAATGGACAAAGTGGATGCATAAAATATGCTGCCCATGTTGTTTTGGACGAAGTTGTTTAGTTCCAAATCAAGGTTATCTTTCTGAAGCAGGTGCTTCTTTAGTTGATCAGAAACTTCAGTTGAATGTTGTTCCAAAAACAAAAATAGTACATCTTGTTAGTGAGTCTTTTAATTATTCTGCAATAGATAGAGCTAAATCTAGAACAAAACGAAATATTATAGAGAAATTTCCTAGGTATCGTTGTCATTTCAACAGAATTGGTTTGCCACTCAAAGTGGGCTCTTTCCAACTCTTTGTTGAAGGATATAAAGATGCTGAATATTGGTTGCGAATATTTGAGTCAGATCCTCTTCCTGAAGATTTGCAAAAAGAATTCCAGTTAAAGTTTGAGAGGCTTGTAGTTTTAGATTATATAATTCGAAACACAGATAGGGGAAATGATAACTGGCTTATTAAATATATTAAGCCTAACGAAGCCATAGGTAATGGTATGGTTCCTTCAAAAGGAGAAATCGAGATTGCTGCAATTGATAATGGTTTAGCATTTCCATTCAAGCACCCTGATTCTTGGAGAGCATATCCATTCCATTGGGCTTGGTTACCTATGGCCAGAACTCCATTTTCAACTGAAACAAGAGACTTGATTCTGCCTCGGATATCTGACATGAACTTTGTACAGGAATTATGCGATGATCTTTTTGAGTTGTTTAAAATAGATAGAGGATTTGATAGAAATGTTTTTGAAAAGCAAATGTCAGTTTTGAGAGGTCAGATATTGAATCTAACTCAAGCATTAAAAGATGCAAAATCTCCACTTCAGCTAGTCCAGATGCCTGCAGTTTTAATTCAGCGAAGCAGAGGGAGAAGTAAAGGCAAGTCACGGGTTGCTGATGACAATTTCACTCAAACATTCCAAAGTAAAGCACCTTTTTTCTCTTGGTGTTAATAAATAACTGTAACTGAGCTTAAGTATTATTTTGTTAAAATTTGTATGGACATCTTGGTAATATATCTTCCATTAGATGAATAGTTTTTGCCAGCTGTATAGAAATATTATGCTTGCCACAGCATGCATTTATTTATTCCTTGTGCTATATTCCAAGCATTGTAAAAACACTGCAAAAATTGTTAACTCCTTAAGCGCATTTTGTTGTGTATGTTATATTTTAAAAACTGAATTTTTGTTTTAAAAATAATCATAAATACTTCATGTTGTTGAAATATGGGCTCAAAACCTTTGCCTTCCCTAAATAATTTATAGAGTCCTATTCCAGTTTATTTTTTTAAACACTGTTGTTGTGTTCAAGTAAACCCTGTCAATCTTGCTTGCATGTATTGTTAAGCATAAGAAAAGAAACATTTAGTTGTAAACTGTATATAAATATCTTTTCAGAAGTAAGATAATGGTTGTGTGTGTGCAAGTTATGTATTATTTTTTCCCCAACCGTGTAGAGTAATTCTTTTGTATTTTAATACATTAAAAAATAAAAGTATAAAAATCTATTTTTAAATGTTTCTATTTGTCTAAATCATGAATAATTATTAGATTTTTTATTACTATTTAAAAATATGTTTTGTAATTTTCTAATTAATTTTCAATATTTCTTTCTAAATTTCAAAAGCAAAAGTAAATCATATTTTTATCAAGCTTTTACCTTTTAAATTTTGCATTCAGAAATATTTTGTTAACTTGAGAATCTAATTGGTATTCATACTTGTTTACAGTTATGTAAAGGGAAATAATGCAAAATTTTTATCAGTAACTCAATTATTAATAGTTACGTAAAAATCATATTCTTTGTAGTAATTATTCTTTATGTTTATACTAAATAGAATTACAATTAAATATTGATAAGAAGAAGACATAAAAATAGTTTTTTCAATGTGATATATTTTATTGAATGCATAACTATGACTTTATCCTTTTTCAAGTAAATAAAACATTTGTTTTTGAAATAAAATAATGATTTATTCAAAGTGTTTTCTATCAAAAGCTATAATATGTGTCATCACTCAAGCAACAAATGGATTTTATGAAGGAGGAAGTTTGGTTGTTTTGAAAAAATTCAGCCAATAATTGATATCCTCTAAGATCTGAATTATCCTCTAAAAAGGCCACTGTGCATGAATTGTACCAAATGGTAATTTGAAAGAGTGAATCTAGTGATATGGTGGATGGGGAAACAATTTCCAATTTCTAGGGTTTCCTTGACTGGTCTTGCTCCTGTGGGGAAGCATTGTCATGTTGAAAATAACCTTATCGTATCTTCACATTCTGTATATTTTTCCTTCAATACTTTGTTCTGATTGATTAACTGTAGTTTTTAATATTCAGCATTTATTGCCTGACTTCACCCTTTTTGTTCCACTTCATACATAGCACAACCTTACTTCCATAAATATTCTGTTTTGGTATTGATGGTCTTAGTTTATTTTAGATGCACCCATGCCTTTCGTCTTTTAGGATTGCCCTAGTAAATTTTTCTTATAACAATCTGATGCCCTCCTCCTAAAAAGTGCTATTTTTATTCAGTAATTCGCATATAGTTTCTCAACATTCATTGTGGACTTTCTTTCAATTAATGCCGGATCCAATTTTTTCCTTTTTTTTTTAAACTATTTTATGTAGGTATTGAGGAATGCTTGGTTAGGAAACAGCCAGTTCAAATTTTGCTTGTCAAGGATCTTCATCTGATGGTGTTTCTAATTTTTCAATCTGACAATTTTGTAACTGGTTTCCATGCTGTTTAGTCATGTGTATCAAAATCATTATTTTTAAAACTGCTCTTTGCAGGTATTTGATGAATATGTCACCGTAAATTTTGAACAGTAAATTGTATGTTTCTGCTGCAGTTTTGTTTGCACTAAATAATGAAGTAAAACATTTTGCAGATGCTACATTTTTTTTGGAGGGAAGGGCACAGAACTTTACTTTTTGGTGAGGTAAAATAATCACTGTTCACACCTTGCCTCCCAGCAACCTTTAATAATTAACAATTGCTGCATGTTAATTATTAAAGGTTGCTGTCAAACCTTTTAGGTGCTGCTGTTGTCAAATTCAGCTTGTGCCAGCAATACTAATAATAATATCAATTAGATAAAGGCTGAATTATATTTGCACACCCAATACTTTTAAAAAGACTGATCCTTCCTCCTCTGATACATCCAGTGTTAATGTTATATTCATACCTTATTGACTGTATTTGAGCAAATTTAAGTATTTTGTTAAAAAAATTATTTTTGTTCTTAAATTTAATTATTTTAAATAAATTCTTAATTCATGAATTATAAGCAATAAATTTAGAAATTTGAAGTATATTTGAGGTGTTTTATTAAATTTCACTTCTTTTAAACTTTAAATATTTTAATAGCACATTTATTTTTTCGTTATACATGCATTTACTGCAAGTAAAAATTAGGTAGGATCAATAATAAAATTAATTTCTGTGTTTGTCTTGATGTTTTAATCATTTCTAATGTTGTTTTATGTTTTAAATACAAAACTGTGGCTGTACATCTGATTTCCAACCAACAGATAAAAACTAATCTTTACTTGTTTGTTTGTTTAATAGATGAGTTGGAGGTTTAAGGCTCTGAGGTTATTTAAAAATCAGCTTTTGGTAGTTTCAGCTACCAAGAGCTGATTGCTACCAACAGCTGAAAGAAACAAGGAAACAAGAAAAAAATGGGGGGGGATGTTTACAAAAGGGAGGTATATTGGATAACTTCTCAACATGATGAGTTCTATAATATTCTTAGACTGTGGAAAGACTTGAAGTAATTCTCTGGAAGTAAAGCCAATCCTTGGCATCTCATCCATAAATATCCCATTTGTGTTAGAAATCCTGCAATTAGCAATCTCTGCCCGTTACAGCATTAGGTGTTGAACAGGGTTTACTAGAGCTAAACAGGACATTAAATACTAAAACGGGACCATACAGGTCCATAAGCAGCAGAACAGCCACCATGCTGCTTTAAATTAAATATCTCCTTAAAAAAAAAAGATTAACTACTACAGATTTAAACTTCTTCTCTAAAGACTGGTGAGGCGTACCAGCCACTCCATGAAATAACACTTAATTACAAACTTTTCTTACACATAATTACAATAAAATAAAACATGTTACTTACATGTACAAAACATGTTACTTACATGTACTAAATAAATTAATAATATAAATATGAACATTTTAGTTTTAAATAAAGCGGACAGAATATCCTGAACTCATTCAACATACAATTCCATTTTGTTTACAGACGCTTATTTTACAAAGTTTGAGAATCTTAATTTAGACACTACATTTTTATGTAAATCACTTAAGGTATTAAATTTAACAATATTAGGGATAAATCTTTATACACTATAACAACTAAATAACAGGTACTCTAAATTAGCATTTCTTATACCACAAGGACAAGCAAAAATTTTTAATTGAGAACCTTTCATAGTAAGATGGAAAATGTTTATGATGAGTCAAGGCTTGATTAAGATACTTATTACTGAAATTAAATTGTAAGTGGACCTTCCTTTGAAATCAGGGTCATTCCACCTTTCCTGCCAGGAAGACACACTTCAAGCAGCAATGATAAGAGGTTTTTAAATCAAAATGTATCACGTTATACAAAGAAAGTGGAAGACTTTCAAAGTCTTTCAGTTGCTTCTTTGCCAGTGAAAAGTCTTCAGTTGTTTCTTTGCCAGTGAAAGACTGGCAAAGTCTTTCAGTGGCAGACTTTGCCAGTCTATTCGCTAGCTCATTACGATATGGCTTTTCGTGCAAGAGTTAAACATCTCTAAAAAAGCCAAGAAAGATGATCGTGCCCTTTATCTGCTTTATTACTTAGATAGTTACTAAGATGAAAGCCCATAATTGAAATAACAGCCCTCTAACAATTAGTATAAACCTCTACGGGATCTTGTGTGAAATTTGAAATGAGCCAATACAGAGCCTCCCTTGAAGCCACTCGCTCTGCCTGATAGACAGATGCATTATCAGATGGTCTATACTTACTTTGCATACTAAATTTGTTCGTAGTATGTAAAGTAGTTCGTTGTAAAAGTAGTTCGTTTACATTCCTTTCTATTTCGAAGGGTTTCAGAAATTAAATTCTCTATAGCCTAGGTAGTACTTTTACCCAGTGCTTAAATTGCGCCGGAGCCCAGTTCCGATTCTTCTCAGTTTTTAAGATAAATTACAATTTTAGCCGGAGCCCTAAATAAGATGAGCTCCGGTACTTTTTATAAAATGAACCACAATTTAAAGGGGAAAAATTTAGAATTCCTAAAGTTTTAGTTTAACAATAAGCAGACTTTGCAATAATTTATTTCCCTAGAAATACAAACTCATGAGAACATGAGACGTTCAAGTAAATTCCCTCAATTCACATGCAGAAATCTTTCCCTTTAAGAAGGGCAATAAATTTGGGGTAGTTTGTTTAGAAACGCGTAAATTTCTCGCCATGCCATCGTATCTTCTGTATTGTTATCAGTGCTTGCAGTTACTTATCCTCGCAGGAAGGAAAATTTGTGTTCTTAAATGTGCGTTAAATGACTGCGAGTACAATAAGAGTGAAATACTGAGATAAACCACTCAAGCACCTCCTATATATCGTCTTCCCATAGTATCCAATAATGCTGGGGAAAGCGTAAACAGCAACTTTACATTTATTATTAGGAGTCAGATTCAGGACTCATTTTACCCCTGACACACATATGACTATAATTATATCAGCAGAGAGCCGCGGTCAAAGAGAACGTTCTCTCTCGCCAAAATTACCCTCATTTTTTGTTTCCACCCACTCGTACCCTCATTCTGTTTCGCCCTGGAATTTTCATCAGCTATACTTTAAGTCTATTTAATTTTTGTGATGATAAAAGAACTTTTCCTCCCCTCCCCCACGATCAGGGCTTAAATTGGGCCGGAGCCCTGAATAAGAAGGCTGCGGTACTTCTTTTGTGTAATTGAATAACAATTTCAGTAGAAATTTTATCCCAAAAATTTTATTTTAACAATAAAATTATGTTAAAAATCGCTTATTAAATTTCAGTTTATCTCTTTACATTTTATTTAATTTTAACTATTTAATTATTTCAATAAATAATAATTAATTATCAATTAAATTATAATTAATTGATTATGATTAATAAAATTTATAAATATTAATTAAATAGCTATGAATTAATTTGATAGTAATTAACTGTTTAATTCTTAAATTATTAATGAGTTTAATAGTCATTTTACTTATTTATTTACTCTTGTTCCTCTTTGCTGACGGTCTTCCATAGGGCTCCGGCACTTCTAATCTTAGAAATTAAGCCCTGCTTTTACCTAGCATAAAACCATATTGATTCTTGTTTAAAAGATTATTTGTTAAAAAAATAATATTGCAATCTTTGTGTCATAAGCTTATCTAGCACTTTGCCCCAAGAAGGCAATAAACAAATGGGGCGGAAAGAGGAGAGATCCTCTTTATCCTTTCATTATTAAATAAAACTGAAACAGCTTTTTCCCAA